TTAAAAATTGACTATATTCATATATTCATAATAAGTATAGACTTTAGATACTAACTCAAAAAAGATAACTAAATTAGAATTATTAGCATAATAATATATATTTAAATAAGACATCTCAAATATTCTTTAACGTATCTAATAATAATATATTTTTAAATAAAATTATATTCTTATCAAGTATTCTTTAATGTATCTAACAATAATATACTACTAACTAAGATCTTGTTAAGTATTCAATATATATATACTAATTTTAAATATATTATATTAAATGCAATAAGCAAATTATTTTTTATATAAAATTCTTTTTTATATAAAATAGAATTAAGGTAGTATATTATATTAACAAATCATAATATTCATAATAAAATAAATTTGTATTATAAATCAATTATACAAATTTTACTATCTAGTGATCTTAGTGTAGTGGTTAGGTTGCCAGACTACTATGCAAGAGGTTTGAAGTTCAATTCTACTGTTAATGAATTTGAATAATTACCTAGATCTTTGTATTTAATTTATAGTAAACTTTGTTCGTTTCTGTGGTTAAAACCTTGTAAATTATATTACACTAATAATATTCTAATATTGGAAGTATAATACAATATTTGGAGAGATGTAATATTATATAAATAAATCTTGATAAGATCTACAAGTAGGGGATCTGCATGGTAGAAACCCCAAATAAGTGAAGTAGTATGACTTTTGATAGTTATACTAGCAAATACTTGATCTAGAAGAATACAGTGCTTAAAGACTTTAATCAGATTAGATGCATATAAGTCTGTATTATAGTAGTGATTGCTATATATTATTGTAATACCAACTTGGCCTAGTGGCTAACTAGATTAGGAGGATCTAACTCATGATAGACTTCAGCAAGATCTGTAAACGATACTAGTAGAGAGCTACAGTAAAACTAGAGTCACATGAATATCCACAAGGGTCTTAGCTAGGTGAATTCATAAAATAGATATAGACTGCTTTAGTAGATATGTTTCTGAGGTTAACTGGAGCTTTGTGGCTTACAATATGTTGAGCATACATATTCTAAGAGGATCTAAGCTATACAGTAAATAGATCCACAGATAAGCTAGCTAGCTTAAGTAGTCAGCTATAGTGGTGATATTAGTTTAGGATAAGAAGAAGGGTTAATAATCAGAGTATTTAAATAAGTAACTCACAAGTAGGTTGCAGATATAGCAACATGTATAGAACTAACAGATAGTCGATTGTCTATATAGTAGACTACTTAAATTAAACAATGACTAAAGTTGTATATATAGCTTGTTATATACTTATTATATAACTGTAAAACTTTAAGAGACTACTCATGTGGTAATGTCATAATAACAAATTATTAAAATCTAATTGGCAAAAGAAGCCACCTTAATAATAAAAAAAAAAAAATCATATAAATTTTATTTTATTGTTTTTATTAAAGTTAGAATTCCTATATAACAATGTCTAGTTTTCTTGAAGGTAATATATCTACAACTTTTTTAATAATGATATACTACTCAGACACTTTCATACACAAAATCTTCGTTTAAATATATCAAATTCTTATCATCAAAAAAAAAAAAGTCTATCTACTATAAATAACTGAGATAATCTTTTTACTGATAAAATTTGTATTTCCTTTTCAGTAAAGATTGATGAAAGTAGTACAGAATTCTAGCTTTCATAAAATTATCTCCTCTTCAAAGTACTATTAATAAAAAATACTATAATAAATATGTTAAATAGCATTTAACCAGAATTAGATATATCTTCAATCCAACTTATAATATTAATAAAACTAAAAAAAATATATATTCCTTATATAGTACTCAAAACTATAATAAAAGGTTAAATAAAATTCTATTTATAATTTGCTTTTATATCATGAAACTAAAGAATATAAAATATACTTCAATACTATACATATTTATATTACTAGAACTTATACTAAAACCTAATAGTTTTCTACTCAAACTACACTATAGTCTATAGATACTATATAATTCTTTAGAACTGTCTCTAGCTTTCTAAAAAATACAGAAATAGGAAAGATTGAATTCGAATGTAATATTCAGTACAAAAAAATAGCCACTGAGAAGGTGAATACTATAGTAAATAGTCAATACTAGTTTTATAGAAATAAGAAGTTGGATTTTGAGCATGTTAGAACTAAAATAGCTAACAATTCTTTTGAAAATAGAAAAACTATATATAAAAATAATAATGAAGATCAGATATATGAAATAATTGAATTATTGAGTGATGAAAACTATGCATTTGAAATAATTGAATTATTAAATAACAATGATAAAAACCAAAAACCCAAAATAATCAAATTATTGAGTGATGAAGAAGTAATGTTTGAAGAAAACCAAAGAATTATTTCTAGAGATCAAATATCTGAAATAGTAAAAGAAATAATTGAAATAACTTAGCTTGATTTTATTTTTATATTCATATTAATTTTTGTTCTATTAAAATTATTCTTGTAATTGTCATAATTTTTATCAATAAAGTTTATATCGTTATCTTCTACATGTAACATGAAAGATCTATCACATGGATTTAATATAAACTAACTTACCATTAAAAAAAATGTCTATTATAATTAGTAAAATAAAAATTCTAACATTATTACTATGAAAAGACAACTTTTATTAAGTGTTTCACTTTTATAGAATTAAAAAATATCAAGTATTACAAGAGGAATTAAAAGCGAAGTAAAGCCTTTTTTTTATAATCGTTTAATATAGAGTGTAGATCCAAAAAATTTATTATAAAAATCTTTATTAGTGATTATCACTATATCATGTGCACTATGTTTGTAAATTGACCGATAGGACGAATTTTGTGGTATGCCATGTAATCCGTGTCTTTAGGAGTTGCTCTAGCTGATTTAAGTAAATATTTGGGGGTCTAAAGCCAGCCATGTACCTTTACATATAAGATCTACATATTGCATAAATTCTGTTCTTGATATCTATATCTGATATATAAATAAATAAATGCATCAAAAAAACTAACCCTAAGGTACTGTACATGGCTTTAACCATCCCCCAAATTTATACCAAACGCACCTGGCTTTAAATGACCCCCAAATATAAACACGCGTGCGAACACAAAAAATTTCCAAATTGCGTTTCTGATGTGAATTTCATAATTTTTATGTTGATGCACCAAAAAGGTATTTTTTTTTGAGCCAAATGCAATTATTCGAACCTTGTCCTCTCTTGTAACCCGAAACCCGCCTCTTGTATACTTTAAGTTTTCCCGCCGTTTGTAACCCTCGTTGAGGGTTTTCAAACCCTTATTGAGGGTTAACAACCCCGTTGAGGGTTTATAGCCTTTAATCATCCCTCATACCACTTCAGATCTTTTCCCAATATGTATAGAACAAAAGAATAAAATAAGCCTAATCCAGAAAAGTAAGATTTTTAGCGGAACAACGTCCCGACACTTCACTCTTTATGAAACCATACACTTCGTTTCACTTCGTTCCTGGTATATGGTTATACTAAAGAAATATGTAGAGTTGATTGATGAAAAGGATGAACATAAGGCATTCGATTGAATTCGAAAATCTGCTAATATGGGTGATGTCTGTAAGCTTAGTTATTTAAATTTTAATTCTTTTCGTGATTTGATTGACTAATATCATGTGACATTAAACCAATCAAATCGAGTGTCACCATGTTCTCAAGGACAGTGTTCTTTAGCTATCAGAATAGTAAATTAAATGCTGTATTTAACAAAATTATAAAATATTAATAGACAATTACAAAACTGCTAAAAAAAATATAATATAATGGTTCTTATAGATGAGTAAAATATAATTACAAAAAGTATCTTTGCAATTGATTTTTATTTAGTCGCATACTTAATATACAGTACTTTTTTTAAAAAATACATAATACATACAGTACAATAAATATAATCGATTTTTAAACCATAATCTATTTTTAATCAGATAGATTTTTTGTCAGCGGGAAATTGAAGAATCTTTACCAATATCGAATTTTTTTTTTCTTCAAAGAACATAATTCTCCAATGCGGGAATTTGAGGAATTTGGTCACCACCTTTACTAATATCAATGGCATCAGAATCGTTTTCATCAAAAGACATGATTTCAGAGTATTCTGTACCCGTAGGTGATGATCTATATTCTGGTAAAACAAAATTCGGAAGATCTGGATATTTTTCCTTTACCAAATTATCAAAATAGTCATCTTTAATTTCAGACGTTTTGGGTTCTTGAATTTCAAAGTTTACCGTAGATAATTCTTCTTCATGATGTATATCAAACACATCACCAATTGATCGATAAACTTCAATAATACTTTCCATCTGATCAAGTAACATGGCAACTTTGTTTTCAGAATTGATCAATTTTTGCTCTAATTCTTCATTAGTGGTGAGCAATTTATTATTTTTTTCTCGATATAAATTAATTTCACTTTCTTTTAATGATTTTTCTTCTTCCCATTGTTCTTCGGCGAGATCGTCATCTTTGTCTTTATTTAAAATTTCTTGTTGTTCAATGGAAGACCTTGTTCGTTCTATCTCCTGTTCAAGATTTTCTTTCATCTTTTCATACGCCAAAATTTCTTGTCTTAAAAGTTCATTCGACTTTTTCAACGTTTCATTTTCATTATTTAAAGGTTCATACATTTTCTTCAATTCTTCGTATTCCTGATTTACTAAATCTTTTTCTTTTTTGACAAATTTTAGCTGTTGGTTTAATGACTGCTGACTTACATAATCTTGCAATATTGAAGTCCTAACATTATCATGAGAATTAATTGTTTTTTTAATTTTTTCATCTAGTCCTTCTTTATTTGTGTTAATTAATTGATCTTTAATTATTTTCATTAGCTTTTCTGTGCTTTGTGAATACATATGTATCATTTGGTAATCCGATCCAATTTTATTTGCCTTTTGTTTGATTTCTTTTAGTTGTTGTTGCGTTCCTGCCGCTTTTGATTCAACCAAACGAATCATATCTTCGATTTCAGCTATTTCATATGATATCTCTAATTCATCATAACATTCTGAGAATTCTTTAGATGGACTTGCTTCTTCACTTTGACCATAATAACATTCAGAGATTTTTTGGGGAGATCTTTCCTCTTCACTTTGATCTTCAATTCTCGTAACATTTTTTTGTGATATATTGTCTTTTTCAATATTATATTCTGGTTTTATAACTACTTGCTTTGATTCTCCTATTTGTTTTTTTATTTGAAGTAAATTTTCTTTAATCGATTGAATATCATTTAATAAATTTAATGATTTTTCAACTTTTGATTCAATATTTGATATCTTTTTTGATGCTAATTTTGATTGATTTGCTGCAACTTCCTAATTAAAATAAAAATTTATAACGTTAAAATTAATAAATATAGTAGAACAATTAATTCTTTTATATATATATATATAAAAAGAAAAGACCTTTGCTTGCTGCAATTGTTGATTTAATTGAATAATAAACCGAATAATCGAGAATTTTTCGGATCCCATCTTTTCAACATCCACCGATTTTTCAGAGTTAATATCATTATCTAAATCATTGTTAGAGGAATCTGGAGTAAATCCTCTCTTTTTAGCAAATTCTAATTGCGATTTAAGCCAACTTTCACGTTTTTTAAATTCAGAAATCATAATATCTTGTTCTTGAAGTCTTTCCATATAACTTTCTCGATTCTCATTTGAAAGATCATCAGAATATCGAGTATAAGCATTGGATGAATCATTGGGAGATGTCGGATGTGATATATCTGGGAATATTGGAAAAAAATTAATATTACTATCCTTAAAAATGTTTGAAGGTATATTAATAGTAGATGTATCATTTTGAAAATTGGTTGAAAGTGTTGAAGTATAAACTGGTGTTTGATACAAAGTTCGAGCGCCTTGTGGTTTCAGAAGGGTTGTTGTATGAATACTATGTCTAATCGGAAATTGTTTTTTATCAGATGTAGGTTTTAAGTTTTTCTCAAGTGTACCTTTTTGGAATTTTGAAATGTTTATATTATCAAATTCTAAATTCGCGTTTTTTGTTGACATATTATCAAAAGTTTCCGGAAATTTATCTTTTTCTATTACTTTTGTATTATCCATAGAAATTTCAATAGATTGGTTTTCTTCGATAGTTTGGTTTTCTTCAATCTCTGGTAAAGATCCGGCTATTTTCTCCAAAGGACTTTTCACTTGACGTTTTGGACCACCTGGTCTAGTTAGAGAACCTTGCAAATTTGTTATTTGTGACGTTATTAACGCCCGAGATATAGGTCTTTGATTCTTTGTATTAACGTTACTGCTTTGTTCATTAGTACAATTTGATGATTCTCGAGTTTGAATCAATTGTTTATTTGATATGGAAATAATGGGTTCAGATGATCTCCGTTGAAGATGCTGTTCTGATAATGAATTAAGGTAAGTTCCGGTAGGAAATTTTATTTTTGCTGGCAAAGATATAAGAATAATAAATCATTAAAAAATGGTTATTCCTTTTTTTTTTTTTTTTTCTTTTTTATACAGTAGATCACATAAATAATGTATACACTTACATGTGTCCAAGATATTGATTATTCCTTTCGAATGTATAGATTCACCACCAAGAATGAAAACTTTGTTATCTACTGCAGTCATTGTATGTCCATGGCAAGGACTCAAAAGGTTGCATCAATTTTATCAATATAATCAAGCAAGTAAAAAATTTTAACTTTATTCACACACACAAACTCTATTCACCTTGGTGTAGGCCCCATTTTCTGAAATATATGCCATGCTTTTTCTAAATAAACGTATTTAGATTAGCATTTATATACAAATTCATTATTATTATAAAAAATGTTATTTAGTTTTATTTTTATTTTGAAATAAATACGGTTTATTCTGAATGCAGTCAAATCAGATAATTCTTTATCATCATTTGTCATTCCTCCGAAAATATAAATTTTATCATCTACAAGTGCAGATTTATGGTAACAACGTGGAAATGGATTAAATTCAGTTGAAGAAATCTCAGACCAAGAATTGGTTTGTGTGTCATAACACCATATATCATTGTAACATTGAGTCCCATCAGTTCCACCGAAACTTTTTATAAAGATATAATTTGAATTAACATATTGAAATCAAAATCGTAGACATTGATAGCTTGAATAGATACCTACAGGTAAATATTATCCTTATATGCGCATGCAATATGCCCAGCCCTGCTAGGCGGTGAATTATTCGAAGGACAAATAAACTTCCAACTTAAATTTTTTGATTCCACTGTGAATATATACGAAAAAAAATAAATAAATTTAATTTCCATTTGAACGTATTATAATTAAAATTGATTACTTACTGGTAGTTAAATCAAATGCGATCAAATCATTTAAATAAATTCCTTTGAAATTTTGGCCACCAAATATATACATGGTCGTCCCAATGACAGTTGCTGAATGGCCGTGACGTTGTGTAAGAGAATGCTTTTCAGAAAATGAAAATTTTGACCACTGTTTTGAATCTGTAAATAAGTGAAATTAGCGATAAATGTCTAATAAAGAATAGTACTTGTGATTTAATATTTACCAGTATTGAGTACATAGATAAAATCGGTAGGACTTTCTGAAGGATATTTAAGCAATCCACCAAAAACTGCATTCAACAATCAATCAATGTTAAGTTGTTTCATTTCATAATACATTTAGTATTGCATTTACTTGGAATCAGAATTTTTAAAGCTACTAATTTTACATACCTATCATGTTATGCCCGATATTAACATGTGTATGCCCGCTCCGTGGATATGGTATATCTCCTGATGTTATAAACTTATATGCACGCATTTTATCTGGAAATTATCATTTGAATCAGATAAATACATTTGATAATTTAAATGTTAAACCTTGTGGCAAACATACAAACATACCTGTTTCTATTACAAAAACATCATTTTGAGCCTCTCCTTCAACAATACCTCCAAATATAAATATTTGATTATTAATTGCGCATTCATTTGATGAATGTCCATAACGTGGAAAAGGATTGTAATCATCAAGTTTATTAATTTGAATCCATGGATAAATTGGACCCGTTGGTTTTAATTTTAATTTTGACATCAAACTCATAGCGTTTATCGTTATGAACTTAAGTTGAAATTTGATGTAACACACTTCACCATTATTCCCATTAAATATCAAAAAATACATGATTGGCCAAGTAAATTTGCAAATACAGAAGGCAAAATTGAAGTTCCATGCATAACCATTATCTTACGATTCATATTTAGTTAGAGTTAACTGAAAAATTTTATTCGGCTTTATTCATGAATTTTATAGTTCTGGTGTTACATAATGCATTACCTGCCAATTAAAATATCTATATGAAATACGTATCGGTATTTCTTTTCATTTATTTATTAGGAAGCCTTACTATTAATAGAAATGATGCAGCAGTCAATTTTATTCAATTATTTAATTACAGTACACGACAAACCAATGATGAATATTATGAATATTAGAAAATATATTTTTAACTAGAATTAATGGAAAATTTGTACGTAGCCAGAATTGTAAAATTCTGTATACAAATTAACTTTCTTTCAATTTTGAAACATTTTTGACTCAGCAGAAATAGCTTTGCCAAAGCAAAAATTTCGATTTAGTCTACTATAAGTTAAGCTAATAAAATCTACAGTATTCATGAATTAATTATTATTACGTATATGGGGTCTTTGCTATGATTTTTTGTGCTAAAAATAGATTTATTAACAAAATTCCCGTGTAACAATGGCTCGGAGGGTCATTTTGATAGCAAACGCCCCATATTAGAGTGGATACAAGTAGTGCTGAAAAATCCATTGGATAATCCGACTATTTTAATCCGGTGGATATTTTTACAGATAACGATAATCCTAAAAGTAATTTGATCAAATGGGGATCTTGATTTTCCTAACGAAGATCCCAATGGTTTGAATTAGATAACTACAATGACTGACGGTTATGTTTAAAAGCGAACATGATGCAAATTGCATAATAGGAAATAAATACATAGAGAGGTTTGATCAGTGTATGATTAAATTTTCTATTCGTAAACTTATAAAACTTGTACGTACGTACCTAATAAATGTCGGTGTGCTAGCGTTGTGTACTGGTGAGAGAAGTTGATAAATCAATATAAAGAACCAAGAATAAAGAGGAGGGTAAAAAAAAGTCCGATACTAAGCAAAATGGCTCGCAAATATTTGTGTTCCAGCTATCTTTACAACTTTTAGCAATGAAGTGAATTTCATGTTTCTGCGAAATCTAAATGTTTATTATTTTAGCGAAAAAATTCATTCTTCGGATTTCACCAGATTTCATCAGATAGTTTATGATCAGATATAAAATCCAAATACGAATTTACTAATTTACCCCACAACTTCTAATTGGCTGTTCTAATTATTAACTTAGCGGAGTATTTATATTATTAATAAAATTTTTTATACGTACTCCGATAGTGAAGTGGTGGGAAATTAGGGCACATATTATTACTTAATATTACTTAATATTACTGTGAAATAAGTAATTTTATAATAATTTGATTCTTAAGCAGCAATTTTTCGTTCAATCTCAATTTTGATCATTCGCCTCCGACTGTTATCATGTGTTTTATATGTATACATAATAAGTAATAGAATGTAATAAATAATTTAATATTATTTAATATTAAGTAAGGGATAAGTCATAGGTCATAATTACTTACAAAATTACTTTGCCCATCTCTATTATCGTTGGGAGTCGGGGAAATAGCTGTCTGTGCGGGATATCAGATATAGAAATTATGTTAATACCTTGTACTATACGGTATGGTTTCGTTACCTAACAGCTAATACACATTACGTATATAGATTCCATACGGTTTGTTTAAATAAAATCTGAACCAATAACGAGTACTTTATAGGCTGTTTGAGTTTTAATAGATAGCTCATAACCACGGCATTCCGCTGTACATTTTCGCCTGTATGTTGTTAATTTTTTTTATGAATTATAACTTCTTTACAATATATATAACAATACAGTGATATATAGTTATTGGATACTACGTTCCAATAACGGTATTATCCGAAAGTTTACTATCAAAATGACTCGGGTTATTTTGGTTGGGATTAAGTTGTAATCAAATTACCATCGAATAATTGAGTATTTATTTGATAGCTTGCTATCAGATAATAGTTTTTTATTCGTTTTTGCATCATAGCAGATATACAGTAGTATAAATAAACGTGTAAAAAGTAGCTGTTACAAAATTTGTACATGAAAATTTTATATGTTTGCTTACTTGTCATGAAATTTTTTTTGATGTCCTAAGACGTCTCCGATTGTTATTGGGCATAAGCCTCAAATTTAATGATACTTCAAATTTTTTTTAATAAATATTATGCGTGTAAAATTTTATCGTTATGTATATAAGTTATATATAGAATAAGATTATCCCTAAAAATAATTTTAATATTGTAAAATGACGAACTTTTTCATAACTATTTTCTTTATTTCTATCATTCATACTATATACTTCTTATTTACTTATTCCTTATACATACCAACCGAAAATAAAGATGTAGACATTTGGAATTTAACAATTATTCATACAAATGATGTTCACTCACATTATGATCAAATTAATGAAGCGTTCACGGATTGTACAATGGAGCAATTCGAAAAAAATAGATGTTTTGGTGGAATCGCTAGACATAAGACAATAATCGATAAATTAAGAAAAGATAATAAAAACTCGTTGCTTTTAGACGGTGGAGACCAATTTCAAGGTATGTAAAACATTTGTAAAGAAATATATAGATATATATAGTATGTAAAATAAAAACTCGAATTTCTATATTTAATTTTGGTATTTATAGGAACTTTATTCTTTACATATTATAATGTAAGTTAGAATTATATTTATAATTTTGGGGACGAATTTGAATGGTTGAAATAAAAGAATTAAAATCAGTATTTTTGGTAAAATATATAGGGAATGTTAAGTTCTAAAGTTTTGGTAAGTATCACCGACATTTATAGCAAATCATCTTTATTTTCTTAGAATTAATCAAGTTGTATCATAATCCAAATGAAGAATTTACTTGGATATAACATCACGGTGAGTTTTTCTTTAACCTTTTTTTTTAAAAAAAAATAAAAAAAAATAGAATTAAATTTATATGAAAATAGGTTATTGGAAACCATGAATTCGATAACGGCCCAGAAACACTTGCTGCCCACTTTAAGCAATTACATATACCAATCGTGTGTGCGAATATCAATACAACCTTAAATCCTTTGCTTGGAGCATACATAAAGCCATATCATATATTTGAAGAGTACAATCTTGCTGTTATCGGTTATATAACTGATGTATGTCAAATTATCTTAAAACTTTTAATTTTTGAACATTTTAAGTTAATTATTTTTTATACTAAGGTAACGGATGAGCTTTCTAACGCAGGTCAAACCATATCATTCACTGATCCAATTCCGGTAGTTCAACGTTACGTAGATGAAATAAATTCATTAGGAATTAACCGAATTTTAACACTATCTCATATTGGATACAAATTCGATAAGGAATTAGCTGCAAAGACTCGTGGTATTGCCGCGCATATCGGAGGTCATAGTCATAGTTTTTTATCTAACGATACTACCTCAAAAGATCATTTGTTGATAGAAGGACCGTATCCTACGATTGTCAAAAATGCTGAAGGAGATGATACTTTGATAGTACAAGTAAAAGATTTTTTTTTTATTTTCGATAAACATAAAATTTGTTATGGCTTATCGATTCATTACGTATGTAGGCATTTTGGTCCGGAAAATATATAGGACGTTTAGACATCTCATTTAACCAAGTGGGAAAACTTGTTTCTCACTCTGGTGCACCAATTCTAATTGATCAATCAATTTCTCAAGACTCTGGCTTAGTTAACTTAATAAGCAAATGGCGAGCTCCATTTGATAAATATACAAATATTACAATCGGCAATGCAATAGGCGCGTTTGATCAATCAAAATGCCAAATAGAAGAATGTACGATTGGGAACTTGATCGCAGATTCATTACTTTGGTATTGTCAACAAAATATTAGTAATAAATTGAACACTACTAAACTCGACACTAAGCAAATAAACGCAGCATTCATAAATGCTGGAGAGATCAGAGCTGGGCTACTGGAAGGGCGTATCACAAAAGCTAACATTCTAACCATTCTGCCATTTAAAAGTTCTCTGGTAATTTTACCTTTGACCGGAAAAAATATAACAGATTTATTAGAAACTGTAGTGGGAAAATCAGACAACATTATTTCAGGAAAAAAAGTCAGTAGTTTTATTCAAGTCTCTGGAATTAGATTTAAATATGATAATAGCAAACCGGTATTTGAGAGATTGATTGAGGTAAGGGTTTGGAGTTGGAATACTAATATATTTGAGCTGATTGTAGGTGATAAGATTTATGACATTGCTACTAATGATTTTGTCGCAAACGGTGGTGACGGGTAAGTAATAATTATTGAATTTGTTTTTTAGGTAGATGCCTTTTTTCTTTTACTTATAATTTCATTTGAATATATTCTAGATTGCTTCCATATCCAGTTAGGGGATTAGTTCCTTTGAGCACAGGAAATGAGATATTAACAAATTACATTCTTGATCAGAAAAATATAACGCCTTATTTAGATGGTCGTATTCAAGATATTACCTTATTGAACAAATAATAATTATACATCAATCTGTACTGTACATCACAAATTCATTTAACTGTTTAAATTACGGATATAAAGACATGTAGCAATAATTCTTCTAAAAGTTATTTTCACTTTTTTGCACATTATAAAAAATTTTCAGGTTAAAATTTTAAATATAAACATATTAATTAATTGTTGAATTAAAAAATTTCATTTTAGTTTTGTTGAAAAATTAACAAACAAATATGTATTTTAAAATTATTTCAAGATTTTTTAATGAAAATAATATATCAGCTAATGCTTTTGAATTAAAACATGGTTTATCGTGTCTGTTGACACGTCATTAACTATTATAGGCAATTTATTTTCTATCGCTATGAGTAACTATTGCATTAAAACTAGTTCGATTTACGTTTACAATAAAAAAAAATTTGATTATGCCTTTTATCAGAAGTGTTTTTTATATAAAATTCAGAACAAAAAGATCAATATTTAATAGCAATATGAATAACATGCCTTGAAAACCAGTATCTTCATATCAGAAAAACAATAAGAGGAGTACAATTAGAATTGGTATCCATACATTGAAATAAATTTAAAAATATATAAAAATTTGGATTCTATAATTTATCGCAGTGGCGATATATCGCTAGTCCCTTAATATCATATAATAAGTTTATCACGTGATTAGTATTTTAAAATTTTAACTTTTCAGATTTTATAATTTATCGCATAAGCGATATATTGCCATATCTAATATCGGATACTTTATTAACATTGTATTACATAAAGCCTTCATTTTATTAGTCAATTAAAAACTAGCAATAGCGATAAATGATGAATCCCTTCAAAGAAAATTGCAAATTTAATATAGTATATATGAGCAAAAAAAAACAGTACATGCTTTGCTGATTACTATACTTATAAAATTTTTTTTTGAAAATGTACTTTAAACATAATTTCTACTTCTCATTTGTAATCTGTACTTGCAAAATAAATTATTCCAAAATAACCTTTGAGCATAATTTTTGACAAATTAGTATAATATTCGAATTGTCAGTCTTGGTAACCTTCAATATCTTAATATTGAAAAAATTTTTGACTAATAAGAGAGAAATATTTATTTTATTCAAACTTGGAATTATAAAATCATAGTACTCATACTTAAGCGTATATTACTCATTTTTTATAACGATAAATAAATTATCTTCATACCTTTTTATTAAATAATTTATTTTTCTATAATATCTAACTACTGTATATTTTTGTCTTTTCAAATATTCTACCTATATTTATAACTTTGTTAATAAATAAATGTTTTACACTCATCTAATTTTATAAAATAATACTAGTCAATACTCACATTATCTGTACCTGTTAGATAATAAATGAATGCCTCATATTTGCTATTTTTAACTTCATTTATTTGATTATTCAAATATTAATTGATAATATTATTCAGATTTTGGTTCTTTTTTTGCTAGCAGTTTTTGACTTGGATCTTCAATTGATCTACAACTACAAAAAAGTATGCTGTTAAAGCAATTTAGTTCACAAATTATGATAGTATAAAAGAAAAATAAAACTTATACCTGCGAAAGTTACAAGTTTTAGATAACCAACACTACAAATATTATATTAAACCTACTCAAAAAATGTGCTCAAAGATTATTTTGGACCAAATATACATAAAGATTGATAAGTAAAAAAGATTAATAAAAGTGACTACGTATAACAATCAATTTTACCTTACAATTTTTCTAATAATGACCCATATTTCCACATTTCTTACATTGACGCTGATTGTTTTTCTTAGCTTTAGAGACCTCTTGTGATGATTTATATTGTTTTGTACCTACTGGTCGTCCCTTTCTCTGATGCTTTTTTGGATTTTTTAGTTGAGGTAACGCTGAATTATTTTTCTCATTGCTACTATCACTTTGTAAACTTTTGTCTGAATCTGATTGTTCACTAGTACTTTCATCTACAAATTCTTGAAGTAAAGTAATGAACTGTATTGATTTTGAATAGGTTTGCAATGCTTTATCAAGAGCTTTTTTATATGTACTATGAACTTTTCCATAAACGATTTTTTGCTGAAGAACTGTTAGACTTTCTTCACAGAAGTCTTTACAGTTCTGATCAAAAGAGCACAAATACAGAACCTTGTCTGAATTATATATTACTTCTAACACATTTTGATTTTCTTGCACATTTTGATATTCTTGTATATTATGATTTTCTTGTACAATTTGATTTTCTTGCATAGTTTGGTTTTCTTGCATAGTTTTATTTTCTTGCACAATTTGATAACTTTCTTGCATAAATTTATCAGCTTGTAAAAATGGCTCTTCTGAACCATTTAGATTCTCATAATACCACCTTGTTGGAATTAATCGAATATGAAAGCAGGCAGTTTTAGTAGTTAACATTACTTGAAAGTAATGCCTACAAATAACTCCAGATCGAATTATAGAAAGACATGTACATATATGTCCACGATTCTGTAATAATATAATATGGTGCTTGATATTCGATGAGTTTCCAATGCTTATAGCCCAAATCTCCTTAATATTGTAAGAACTCACAAATTCACACAATTGTTTAAGCGTGGCTTGTGGAATATCAACTAATAAATCATCACCTATAGTGGAATCGCTCTATTAACATGAATTTAAATTTTTACTGATATGAAAACTTATTGTTATACACTTCAGCTAATTTTCTGTATTAGTTATGAAAATAAAATTATTAGCATTAGTAGTACAACCAAAATTATGAATTTTAGTTGCACCACTAATTTAATCATTACCTCATCAATCTCAGCATTTTCTATATTTATGGGGTTCGCTACATAATATAATGATTGGTTCATTTCATTTCTATGCATCTTTAACATAGTAGGTGTGAGATATCGCTGAATACACTGGTCTATCTTAGTAAATAAAAAATTCAAATTGCTTTGATTTCTTATAGCAGGAATCGATAATTTCCAAAATTTATACTCATTCTCTTTGTCTTGCATATCAAGAAGTCAGTGAATTTCCACCATAAGATCACATAATAAAATATTTGAATTGTGTAACAAACATTTCAAACATCCATTAACAGATTCTACACGAGAGGTTGCTATGATACCACCTAAAAAATTAAAATAATCAAATTGTTTTTTTTTTTTAAAAAAAAAAAAAAAAAAAAAAAAAATTACCTGTAAATCTAAATCTGGTAAAACAATGTGCTCAAGAAGTTTTTGATTTATAAATAAATTCCAGATACTTTTGAGCATTAGGGTAGTTGTGTTGGAGCTTTCTAAAACTTTGATTAAATATATCTTCAACAAAACTATTTTGACAACAATAAAATTCATTAAGAAACTTTTGATACTCGTCACCCAAAACTTTTCTGAGGTTCTTGTGTAGGTTTTGGGTCATGTGGTAAGCACAATGGATAGGGTAAGTTGAAGAAAATATTTTACGAATAGCTGAATCGACAGCAGGGTCAGCATCTGTAAGTATTACACTCGGAATTATGCCAGTTGCTTTAATTATTTGATCGAACATCCATGTATGTGACTCTATGCTTTCATCAGCTAAAAGGCCTTGTGCAAATAGTATATTATTTCGTTCATTATTGAACCCAACAAAAAGTGATAAAGCCATTCCGTAATGATTTTGTCTTGTGTGTATTATCATTAAGAACGCAGTCTGAATATTTCACCCAGTTTTCTATTTGTTCTGAAGTCATCCACATTAAATGTGTTAGAACATTATCATTATCCCAGCCCTATGCTACATACCATCGGGAGTCAAGCTCTTTCTGCTGATCGAGCCAATTTGAAACTTGGGATGCATCATTTGACAACGAATTTTGCATTGGACGAAATTTACTAATAGTTGCATATAGGTCTTTCGAGTAAATAGGATGTAATGGGTATTTATTTTCAAGAAACCTCCTCTGACTTGTAGCACCAAATTTACAAGAGACGGTCATAAATCTAATATCATCAATCATTTCTTTTGTAAATTTTTTAGACTCCTCAAATTCTATCATTTCCCTGTTTAAAGCATGATTGTGATTTTCTACAACTTTATTAACAAATACCAAATCCCTAGGATTTTTAGTTTTAGGATACGAAACATTAACCAAAAATGGACATTTCAACTTTTTTGAAGCCGTATCTTTACTTGAATTGGAATCATAATTTCGACCATGATCACATATAAATGTTCGCCGTCGTACAATGTTTTTTTCACGAAACACTCGATCTTTGATCATTCGAAAACCTTGTTTCTTGGCCCATTCAGATAAAAATGCCTCACACGATTCCCAATTTGAAAAAGTTTTTCCCCCATACAAAGTTGCAGTTTCAGTTTCAGCAGTAGATTTATTTAATGCGATATCATCCATTCCCTAATACAAACGAACCTACCTAAAAGCAGTCAAAAGGATAACGTGTTAAAATATTAGTCATTTATATAGTAATAGTTGTTACTATGATGTAATTTTTTAGAATACAGTCGTTATAGATTTATATCATTTTTATGTAATTTATAATGACGCGAAACAAATTTATTATATTAAACATGCGATTAAAATTCAGATCGGATGTAACAAATACAATCAATAATTTATACAGTATTTAATATAAAATTTTAACTTAGTTTTTTATTTATATATTATCCGTTATAGGGTATAGCGTTATAACGCTATAGCGATAGATTATAATATTCTAAAAATTTGCAATAAAATATATGTGGATTGGGGAAAACAATCTTTATTGAACTGTTAATCTACAATTTAATACAGTGAGAAAAAAACTAAAATACAACAGATGAGTTAAGAAATCGCATCATTTATCTATAAAATAAAAATACGTATTGTCAATTACAAAATTTATCTTAAATAATCTATCTTTATTTTCTAAAGTGCGGATTGTTTCAGCCAATCGACCAGCGATAAATTTCTTGATATCTCGACATTCTATTGTACGCGGTGACAGCAATATCACCTTCTGACCTTTCAGCCGATTTATGTATACTAATCTCCAAAATCAAATCCACCATCTCTAATAACTGTTCTAAATTCATCAATCTCCCTGCCTGTTATGTACTGTACAGTATATACAAACATTTATTAGTTATATTGATTATTTTGGGTTGTTTTTATGATATCATACCTATATTTTTAGAAAAATAAGCCTAGCATTGAATAGCGATGTTATACCCATAAACTTCCACAATAATATCTTTGCCTCCATCATTCGGTCCACTAAAATTGAAAATTAATGAGTAAGTTTAGTTTTGAGCAAATGTCTGAAAATATTTCTATTTTATTATTTATTGAAAGGCTGAAATATCGTATAGTAATAATGCTTGCTAATTATGAATTATATTATCTTTCTATCTATCACCCACCTATTCAATAAAAATTTAAAAGAAAAATCTAATAAAGCAAGCAATATATGCATTTTTTTGTACGTTTTTACAGCAACACGACTGTAAAACAAAAAAAAAAAAATAAAACTTTTTTCTTATAATTTTCTGTCTTTACCATCTGATGTAGCCGCCCCGAGCTCTAATTACATACGGATTCTGGCATTGAACGAATCAGGCATGTGCAGGTTTCTACATCAGTTTCCTTCTAGATAGCCTGAATCTTTTCCCAGAAGTCCGTCTCACTTGAAATTTGACCAGGGAGACGACGGTCAGCTTCAACCCACAAGTGTTCGATGGGGTTAAAGTCGGGGATTAGGGCCAATCAAAGAACTTAATCCTATTACTTTAAGCTAACGTTCTGTCAAGGTCGCCGTATAACAAGTTGCACCATCTTGCTTGCCAATTCGTGATAGTATTTGCCGATATATCTCGCCATACTCGATCTTGCAATAGCACGATAGGTAAAGTAACCCGAATCATAATGGATCCACCCCAACTTTTACTGTGGGCCTAACATGGAACTGGTTTAATGGTTCCCCGTAACGCTCCCAATAATATTGTTTACCATACGACCCAAAAATTTATAATTTTGACTCATCAGACCAGATTACCTTAGACCAGTCTTCGACGGTTCAATTTTCATATTTTTTTTTTGCAAAAGTGAGCCGCTTTTTTCGATGGTAATCACTCAGGTATGAGGGGGGGTTTTTTTTCTTAAACCCGACACTAAACCATGGTTTCGAAGTATACGGCGAATAATAGACTTTTGTTTATTTTGAGGCTGTATTTCCTATATTATTTATTATCTAACTTTTTATGCAGAGTGTTGCCCCTGCTGTTTCTGGTGACAAACGATTTCATTTTTCAGTTATTATGTTTTTAGCTATATAAAATGCCTACTCAGACGTAACGCTAGTTGCCTAGATAGAAAGATAATATTACTTAATACAGGATCTTCTTTAGAATGAGTTTTCCACCATGAAAGAGGGTCTTCATCTTCTTCAGGTATTGAAAGATATTTCATATGAAAATGAAGTAACTTATATTTTCATAATCATATATAGTTGGTGCCAGCACGAAACTTATTCATCATTAAACTCGCGCCAGGGTACAGCTAACGAGCGTCTACAACAGATAAGAATGTTCAATGCCGAAATATAAGCCACGATGAACTTTCAATTATCAGATCAGAAAATTTACATAGACGTGATAGTGTAACTTAGGTTACGTAATGTCTCGACATAACTCTGTAGAAAAACTTACCTAATCCTTGATACAGAACAACTCAAATATTTCACCTAACTTCTCCGTAGACTAAATGAGAAATTGCTTGTTTCGCGTACATCAATTTTTTTTGTCCAATAAAATCATATTATATTATTATCGAATTTCACATGACTAACTTATGATTTTATTGGACAAAAAAAAATTGATGCAAGTTGCTCGAAACCGATGTACTTTAGAAAATTCACATACCCAATTTCATCTCCTTTTTCTCTGGGAACAATTCACATTTTTTTGTCAAGAGAATGTGTTTAAATTACTCGAATCATTGCAAGGATGTTATGACAATATCTGAAAAACCATTTTAGAATACGTCTAACTTTTTATTTAACGTTACATAGCTTATTAACGTTTTTTTTTTTATATATTAAAGTACTCCGAATATATTATAAGAAGTGTATACTTCACCTAGTTTATATTAGAAAATATATTATTAAGTTGCAAAAAACAGAAAAAAACAACCAGGTCTTTGAAAGTATGAATCGTTATGTATAATGCTTTACTTTTTATTGCTGATATAAAGAAGTACAGTACTAATGCTGGAATTATAGTTAATCATAGAATTAATGAATTACGGCATTCTACCATACGTATGGTAGAATTAATTACGGCATAAGATCTTTTTGCCGTAAAACTTAAACGCCGTAATACCATAACTGTTAATAACAGCATTACGGACATTACGGCATTACAGTATTACGGCATTACGGCACTCTACAATTACGGCAAAAAAATACGGCCCTACCATAATTTAATAATTTTCAAAATAATTATAGCTGGAATATTCGGTACAAGTTTTGATTTTAAGACTTTATGCAATTAGTTAATTTATTAATAAAGATAATCTCGATATAATTTATATTGCAAATTAATATACGAGTACTATATAGCGCGGATTAAAAGACCCAGCGTACTTTACAAGCGGTTCCGTTCACTTCACCGACACTCGTTTACTGAATAGGTCATTTCACCGACATATTAGTCCGATTTAGGTTAGGGCTAGGTTAGTGTTAGCCGGTGAAATGACTGTCGGTGAATGACACGGAACCTGTACACGTTATCTGCATATACTGTATAGGTATTATAGTCACTGAGGGTATTACGCTTAGTGTAGAGAGTATAAGTAGCACTGGTTTGGGTCAAACTCCAACAAAGAAAATCCCATAGAATAAATAAATCATTCGTCAATAAATATATTTTTAGGTTTTCAAAAATTGTGAAATTTAGGGTCTTGATTTAAATCCTTAAGACCTACTAAATACATATGTACTCTTTTATTATACTTAAATCTATATTTAAAACATTCTAACTCTTGCACTGTGAAGCAAATTTAATTCTACAACTTGTAAATGACATTTGAATAGTGTGACTATAAAACTATGTTGTGATATTTAAGAATTATATGTAAATATTTCAGGCCTCTATAGTATAAACTTATAAATCGTGAATATTTTACTATTAAAATTCACGACTAAAAAAACACTTGATCTTTTAATTATATTAATAACAAAATATATCTCAACATAGTTTTAAAATTATACTATTCTAATATTATTTGCAAATTACAAAATTAAATTTGCTTTTCTAGAATAGGTGTTAAAACGTTTTAAGATACATCATTTTTATAATAAATAATTAGAGTGTTTAAATAGATAATCCATAGGCAGATTACAGATATAATTTCTAGTATATGTAAAGCTTGTAAGGGATCTATTTACAGGTAAACTACTTAAATCAGACAATAACTAAAGTTATATATGTAACTAGTTATATACTCATTATATAAATTTATAAATAGGAAAAATCTGATATATGATATTTTTATGACAAATTTTATGTAAAAAATAGTAAAATTTTTAGCTAAATTAGTATGCTAAGCTTACAGCTAGCCCTATGATTATGTTTGAATAGCTTTGCAAATAATTTGTCTTTGTCTCATAATTAGTAATTTGTAAATTATTATTTAAATATATCTGATTAATCAAATTATTTTGATATGTAAAAATTTTGTTACTATTATTAATACACTATAAAATGCTATCAATAGAAATTTCAACATATTTGAATGAGCTATCTAGCTAGTACCAAATATTATTAATATATTGATAGACTTCTTTATGCTAACAATAAGATCTTAGCTACTAATATAAATTTGTTTAAGCTTGTCATCTACTTGTACTCTTATTTGAAATCAAACTTAAAATTATAAAATTAAAAAGTTTAACACAAAGGACAATACTAACCAATTGTACTCAGCTTATCTATAAATATCATAGTTTCTGTTAACACCCCAAACTGTTCCATCAAAAGCTATCAATATATCAATTAAAGAACTACTAACTAGAATTTTCAAAAATATTTAAAAATTGAAGAGTTATCAGTTTTATTTAAATTTACTAACCTCCTACTCATAACATATTAGTACTTATATTACTATTAATTTGAAGATAAATTTTATTTGCATTATTAACTCTCCAAATATATGTTTTATCATTAACTAAAAAAAAAAAAAAAAATTAATTGTATTTTTAATCAAAAATAAAAATAAAAAAATTGATAAACAATATTTTATCTAATATTTGAACCAACGCACTGCTAATTTGTATTCTATAATATATTACAAAGCAAAAATACTATAAAGCTGCAGATATAAATAAAGAAGAATAATATAGTTAGTTATTTACCATTTATAATTAACCTATTGTTAACATATGAAATATAAGGAAAAACACAAATTCCTTAATATCTTTCGATCCAC